CAGTAGTGACACACCATGGACTGAAAATACAATCACAGACAGACACACACAAAACACAATTCTATCACAAGCCTGCCTGGCAGAGAAGAATAGAAACACAAATAAATGAAATTAGACAGCAATTACGTAGGCTGACACTATGCACTAAAAACAACGTAACACACAAATAAAAGAAACAACTCAAAAACATTTTCAAGAAAATCAAAACATACACAAAACTTGAACTTCACAACACACACATTACAGAATTCATCGATACACTAAGACAAAAACCCGCAGCTAAAGCACGTAGACTCAAACGATACAAAACATGTACACTACGAAAACAACAAAATAAATTATTCACAAACAATGAAAAACTTTTCTACAGACAAATCAGTAACAAAACAAATACTGATACACAGCACAGTGGCACACCAACAGAAGAAGAACTCACAACTTATCGGTCTTCTCTTTGGTTCAATGCTGTTACACACAATACTGAAGCAGGCTGGATCGAGGAGGAGAACAGAAACTTGCACAACATACCAACTATGCCCTGTACTGAAATAAATGTACACGACATCCGCTACGCTGTTAACAGAACATACAACTAAAAGACACCTGGTGTAGACAACATTCACAATTTCTGGTACAAAAAGTTTACATAACTGCACCAGAAACTAGCTAAACATCTAACACACATCATCATCAACCCACAAGACATGCCAAAATTTCTTACTCAGGGCATCACCTACATGAAACCTAAAAACAACAAAACCACAGACCCCACACAATACAGACCAATTACATGTCTTCCAACACTACAAATTATTGACATCCTGTATCACAAACAAAATATACAATCACGTTGAAGAACACGACATTTTTACAGAACAACAAAAAGGTTGCCGTAGAAATCACATGGGATGCAAAGAACAGTTACTCATAGATTCAGTCATTCTACGGCAAGCACACAAACAACACAGAAACATGCACATGGCATATATAGACTACAGAAAAGCATTCGACAATGTTCCGCACAGTTGGCTGCTACATATTCTACATATGCACAAAATTAATCACTCATTGCATTCTTCCAAAACACTATGCAGCACTGGAGAACAACACTACATCTCAGGGTTAGTAACACTTCCATACAAACAAACGAAATATTCATTAGGCGAGGAATTTTTCAAGGAGATTCCTTGAGTCCTCTCTGGTTCTGCCTAGCCCTGAACCCATTATCCAATATGTTGAACAACACGCAATATGGCTACAATACCAGACATGAAAAAACAACACAGTTTACGCTGTCACATCTCATGTACATGGACGACATAAAACTTTATGCATCCACGCAAAAACAACTACAGCAGCTACTACAAATCACACATTTATACACCAAGGACATACAAATGGAGTTTGGCTTAGACAAATGCAAAACACTTTACATAGAAAAAGGAATCCCGAAGAAAGAAGATTTTGCACTTGGAAATGGAGACGTTATTGAATCCATGGAAGACGGCGAGTTCTACAAGTATTTAGGATTCCAACAGGCCAAACTAACAGAACATACACAAATAAAGCAAAGAATAATTAAAGAATACCAAAGTAGGTTAAACGCTCTCCTCAGAACACAGTTAAATGCAAAACACACAGTTAAAGCAATAAACACATATGTCATCCCAGTACTCACATACTCTTTTGGAGTTATACATTGGACTCACACAGATCTCGAGCAACACCAAAGGAAAACAAGAACAACACTTACTAAGCATAAACATCATCATCCTAAATCCGCCATAGAAAGATTAACCCTTCCACGTAAAGACGACGGACGTGGCCTGATTGACATTATAAACCTTCACTACAAAAAATACAGTTACTGCGAGAGTTTTTCTACAGGAAACAAGAAACATAACAATTACATAAAGCAGTAACTCTAGCAGACTCAAATAACACACCATTAAACTTACACTCACATCATACGGACATGACACAACATATAAAAAGCACAGACACCATCAAGCAAACATGGGCTCAAAAGGCACTCCATGGCAGGCATCCTTATGACCTGGCCCAGGATTTTGTTGACAAAACTGCGTCAAACAGCTGGTTAGATCGGGGATGCCTCTTTGGGGAGACGGAAGGATTCACGATTGCCATATAGGATCAGGTCATAAATACTAAAATCTACAGAAAACACATACTCAAAGATACAACACTCACAAATTACACATGCAGAAAATGTCACATCATTCCAGAAACTGTACAACACATTACATCTGTGTGCAACCTCTTGGCACAGACAGATTATTTACACAGACATAATCAAGTAGCAAATATAATACACCAAGAGCTTGCAAACAAACACAAACTGTTAGACATCCACGAACCATACTACAAGTATATTCCACAAACAGTATTAGAAAACAACACGCACAAAATGTACTATGACAGAGCCATAATCACAGGTAAAACAATTTACCAAAACAGACCAGACATCACACTGATTGACAAATACAATAAAATCACATACATTATAGACATAGCCATTCCAAACATACACAATATACAAAACATGTGCACTGAAAAAATCAGCAAGTACACAGAACGTGCCAAGGAAATACAGCATCTGTGGAGGATAGATAAGGTGCTTATTGTACCTGTCGTTCTCTCCTGTACCGGTGTGATACCACACACACTACACAAAAGCCTGGGAACATTACAATTGAATAGATATACATACATTAAACTACAGAAGGCCACTATATTGAATACATGCCACATTGTTAGGAAATTCCTGAATACAGACACTGATACACTTATTTAATTTTAGTTTTGTTTTGGTTGCTATGCCTTGACTCTGGTCCGGCATAGTACACAGCCACCGGTGTAAACCGAGTATAACTTACTAAACCCAATAATAATAATAATAAGCGCAGAGCCCAAACGGTTAGGAGTTGAAAGTTGAAATTTGGTACACAGTTAGGGTACGTCACAAAAACGCATACTAAGAAGGGAATTTTCGAAATTCTCCCGGGGGAGAGGGACAGGATTAAGGATTAACACTTCCATCAACAATGAAAGTGTTAAGTAACAATAGAAGTGTCAACAATGGAAGTGTTACGTAACAATAGAATTCTTAAGAGAAAGGGACATGCAAGAAGCAGATGCGGTTTTTTTTTGTTTTTGCCGGAAATCGAACATATTTTTAGACTCATCTAAAAATTCTCTAATTAGTCCGGAAACAGGGGAAACCAATTCTTGCATTCTGTAAAAACAGGTAAGGTTGACTATAACGTAATAATTTTAATCTTCGCTATCGTTACTTTTGCCCGAGCAACGCCGGGCCCACCTGCTAGTAATTAAATAAATTTCACGTAGATGTATGGTTGTGAATTAATAACAGGATAAATTAATTTAATTTAATAAAATATTGTAATTTTAATTTTAATAATTCTCCAATTATAAAGAACATATAACTTTTAATTATAAAAAAACTAGCTGTTACCCGCGACTTTGCTCGCGCGAATTTTGCAACAAACCCCATTTACATTCAGTATTTCAACAACCGTAGTAATTGCTATATAACACCTACCGCCGAGAATAATGAGAATTGCCGAGAATCAAACGAAATTTTTTCAATTTGATCAATTTTCTGGAACGTTTACAATCGTTCTATAATCGAACCGATACGCGATAACAAATTCGAATTTAAAACGGTATCGAACATTTGGTTAAAAAATCTAAATATATAAAAAATATTTATAACAATGTCTGAAATGTTAACAATTTAATACACCTAATTACTCAACAAAGAACAAAAGTAGTTGAAAACAAAAAATCGCATATAAAATAGTACGGTAGAAGCCGTTCTTCGGGTTTTAATCCTCTCTCTCTCTCCTGCGAGGGAAGCTAAAATATTTGTTTTTGTATTTATCATAGAGTATAAAAATCTTTTCTTAGTGGGCATTTCATGACGTACTATGCGTACCAAATTTCACCTCTTTAAGTTCAGCGGTTTGCTCTGGGTGATGATGAATCAGTCAGTTAGGCAGCCAGTCAATCAACCAGGACAATTAATATTATATATTTAGATAACTAATTAAAGTGTTTTGAATATTTGTACTCGTGCAAACCAAGTTCATTTGCATTAACCGCTTAATTTTAAGATTGCTTTTAATAAGCAAATATTGTTTTCACATACACTATCGTTTTTATTGTCCCGAAGGACATTAGACATGATAATTTCTGCATAAATCGGGTGTTTGACATTATACTGTGATCAAATTCATAGTTGAGAAGAGAAACTCGTTGGCATTATTACGCGTAGGATAAATTATTTTCCGCTTTCTGGCAGTGATGTGCGCAAAAAACAAATTAAATCATTAAATCTGTGTAAATTATTTGTTTCAGAGTTTCCAACCCGTGAATTTTCGATTCGATTGTTACTAAATATTTACATAGTCGAACCCGTTTCGAGTTTGGCTACACAGAATAACCAATCGTACACTTCACGTGTTAGTTCCTCGCTTTCAAAGAGTCAACACAATTTATTCATTAACTGGCACACTAAAAAGACACCGTGGTCAGTCGGTTAAAAATTAATTTAAGTAGTTTGCAGCTTATAGAATTCAAACCATCGTACGAGAAGAAAGAACATCGCCTCTCTTGATTACAAATATCGATGAATAAGTTATGACGTCAGTAACGAACTACACAAATCTCCGAGACAAAACGACAAAAAACTTTCTATAGTATTTAATAATATTTAAATAATATCCATATATATTACAAATTTCTTTGAATTTAATCTTCCGGGAGGAATTTTTACGGCTGAATAAACTCGTGCTGATGTCGATTTCCTGAATTTGAATTATACGTGACGAGCATTAACGTAAGAAAGTAAAATGTTGACGTTATTTTTTATTTTTTCGTTCATTTATTTTAATTAAAATATACTTAATTAATTTTAAGCTAAAATATTTGTCTTTGTATTTATCACAGAGTATGAAAATTAAATTAAAATTCGTTATTATTAACAAGACAATGAAAAAGTGAAACTTTACTTGCATATTTCGTCGACCAGCAGCTGTTGCTCAGCAAACAGTCCCCCTATAAATAATCGGCCAATAGAAACCCAGTTATAGGTATAAATGTATCTTATTCCCGACAGAATTGTTATAAGATGGCAAATATGTCGTACGCCTTGATCGTCTTTCTTATACTAATTCAATTTTCGTGGGTAAAGTGTTACGAAATATTGAATTGCGGTGAGTGCGTTTTTGAATTTCGTATTATTAATTAAATAATTTTAACCTTTTGCCAAGACAATAGAATTTTGGCTGTATTGGAATACGAAAAACTTTTTGTCGTCGTTCTATTCGTGCGGTTTCTCACCGTTTCGTAATATTGCATTAATCTAGGAAAACATATCAAACCCATATTTATTGGTAAAATATATTATTTGATCACCTATTAAAACATGGAAAATCGATAAAATATTTTAAATTAATGTTTTTAATGATGTGAATTATCTTTTAACTATGGAATATGAATCGAATTTTAAAGTGTTTGATGATTTATAATTTACCGCCATTCGTTGATAACTTTTTGTATATTTCGTAGACGATGAAAACAGTCAACAAGTAGAAGTATCTGTCAAAAGCGTTGTACCATATCCAATCATTAGTGACGAGCCATATACTATTTCGGGAACTCTGAATTTTCTAAAAGACGTGCCGTGCAGTGCTTTATCGCTTATTACTGCGGTAAAATCTGGCGAAGACAAGAGCAAATGCGATAAGAACATGTATGTTTACCGAATTCAATTTAAGATATTTTAAATTGAGAGTAATTTTATTATCGCATTCTTATGTTCTTTATGTAATATGAATGCTGTATATTCAAATTTATATATAATTATAGATTAGACCTCCCTACAACACGGGTTCCTATAGTTCGGATTCCTATAAGACGGCGAAAAAAGTGCGACGGTATCCGTACAAACATGGTAAAAAAAACTCCTATAATTCGATATAAAGTCATCGGGCAGCCGAACTACTTTCCGCCGTCCAGCGCCACGCTTCGGAGAGTTTAGGCGGGTAAATTGAGCTAACTATCGTCTGTACAGTATGTAAATTAGGTACCGTAAGTCTAATACAGCACTATAATTTTATACATTTCTTGTGAAAGAAACATTTCTTATTCAATGGCCATAAAAATTATTTATATTAACGATGTCTCCAAAGTTCAGCGAATTTTTCGCAGAAAAATAACTTGTCAGAAAAGTTTCGTCATTGCTTAAGCTTGTTTTCGTCGCGAAGCGTCCGTCCGCGACGAAAACAAGCTTAAGCAATGGCGGCGTCGAACGGTGCACACTCGGTAAGTAATCCTACGACTTTTTGTTTATAGCATAGTTTATATAGATTATTCCCAAAAAAATTATACGTATTTTGGAAATGTTGAGTTGAATTAGTCTAGAATCGATTAATTTTATGGAAGAAAACCTTTCAAACAGCCGTAGTCCGTAAACTTCACACGTGTCGGGCTGTGATTGGCAAGATTCCTAAGAAAGCGGATTCCTAGAGAATGGAACGTATCTCTATCTTATAGGG